AAAAAAAAAAAGAAATAGTCAAAATTGGGAACCAAAAATTAGGGACATACAGGAATTCAATAACTCACTAATACTTTTGATATACAAATAAAATAACCTTTGTCAGAGAATACACAGGCACCTACATATGCATTATTAAGTATTTCATAAGCTCAGCTCCAAAGAAAATCTCAAACAGTATAAAAACTAGATTTTTTTGCCCATGTTATTTATACTATGTCAATTACCTAGAAACTGATAACTATTCCATGTCCAAATAGCTTGAGATTCTTGCACACAAAACCAATCATCTAGAATGCAATACAAAACAGAATACTTAAGAATGAATTGCATGGGAAGTAGCAAAAACTCTACTTAGCTGAAAACGTATAGTTTATATAGTTCAAATACAGTAAAAATAGAAATTTCATGATCATTTAAAGAAATTTGCAAAAGAATACAAAATTAAGTACAAAGAGCAAATCTTGGGGCTGGTGAGATGGCTCAGTGGTCTAAAGCGCCTACCTAGAACAAGCTAAGCTAAGCAAAGCACAGGGACTGCGGTTCAATCCCCCAGCACCACATGCCAGCCAGCACCCCCCCCCTGGTGGGCTGAGCTGGACACACACACACACACACACACACACAAATTAAAAAAAAAGAGCAAATCTTTTAACATAAAGAACAAAATAGTAAAATAAAAAAACATATAATTTTTGAATTTATGAATCTGAGCAAGTATGTGTATATTGAAGTACATACATATAAAGAAAGAAACAAATTCATCAGAACTACCAGCAAGTGATGATTTCGGTGACTAGATAAATCAAAAAAAATTTTTTTCACAGCAGCCTGACCATGTCTCTAGACTCAAATCAAACAAAATACCCAGCAGTGTAGCATCTGGTCCAACAGCTGCTGCACACACCCTGAGAGCAGAAATGAGCTTTGACTGCCCGTGGAAGCTGAAAAGGAAAACTGCCATGGGAAAGGGCCTTTAATAAAGCCAGCAGAAACAATGCCAGATTAATATAGAGATTAGCACAGGCATGTGTTATTTTGTCTCAATTATAAAAGTCAAATCCACAAAGTGGAGAGTCATATAGATTTTTAATAGAAGGTTGCAAGTGTTGAGTCTTTAGATCATCCACATTGGGACCTGTTTGCATAGTTGTAGCATCTCTGGTTAGGACAAGTTGTAAAACAAAGTCAGATCAGTTCCTTTATTTGGACCATTGCAGATGAGAAGATTATCCACTAATGAGTTAGTTTCTACAAATCTAAAAGCTCGTGACTCCTGACCTTATAAATGACACTGATGTGAAAAGAACCATACAGTTGTTGATCTTGCACATGGATTGGTATTCATCTTTAATATCTTTTCTACTTCTTCTCTCAGACATAGTTTTTATTATTTTATTATTAATTTCAATGAATATTCATTCTTCAAATTGTTTACAGGTCAAAGGAAATTAACAAAGTGAAAAGATGACCCACAAATTTCAAAAAAATCTTGACTAATAAGCACTCCGACAAAGGTCTGTTCTCTAGAATTTATAAAGAAATAAAGAACATTAGGGCCCAAAAGTTCAAAGACCTAGTCCAGAAATGGGCATCTGAGATGAACATACATTTCTCAGAGGACAAAATTAAAGAAGCAAATAAATATATGAAAAAATGCTCCACATCACTAGCCATCCGTGAAATGCAAATTAAAACACTGAGATACCATCTCACCATAGAAAGAATGACTGTCATAAAGAAATCAATCAACAAATGTTGGAGAGGCAGAGGGGAAAAATGAACTCTACTCCATTGCTGGTAGGAATGTAGATTAGTGCAACCATTATGGAAATCAGTGTAAAGACTCCTTAAAAAACTAGCACTGAATTTCTTTTACTTGTATTTTACCTTCCTATTTGTATTTCTTCTTTTGAGTTCTTTTTTTTTTTTAACATATTGCATTTATTTTGGAACAGAATACATTAGGAAACAAGCCAATGATGTAGTTTAATTAGAAACTATAATGTACAATTTCAATATTAAATGTAAATTCCAAATTTAAATTCTAAGAAACTTTATGATTATTCTGTTAGAACCATAGTTTAAGGATTTCTAAACTAAGCCAGTGATTAATTCATGACTCCCCAGACTGTGACGCAGACACAGTGTACTTCAGGCTGACTTAAGTTATTCAGCAGTTGCTCTTACATTCACTAAAGTTAATTACATTTTCTCCCCAAGCAAAGCCCAAGTCTCTCTCCTGTCCTCAGCAGGCGCAGTGACGTCCCCACAGCCTGAGCTCCGCAGCCCAGCACAGCACTGTCCAGCACAGGACACCACACCCCACAGGGCCACCCTGGCTCATCCCACCTGGCTGCATGTCCGCCCTTGGCCACATAAGGCTTTGGTGAGAAGTTCCCACTTGCTCAGGAGATCCGCTCACCGTTTTCCTTTCCTTTCTGCTGACCAACTAACTTACAGTGATTCTCCAACGTCCTCTTCATGAGCCACCATATCTGTGTCCCATGAGGCTCTTCAGTCCCAAAGCCCTAATATCCAAAGTCTCTTGTTCTGTGACACAAAATGACTCTCCCATTAGACTAAATTTTTCAAAAAATGATCTTTCTGAAACTTAAAAGAGTAAAACTGACTTGCACTGTGCAATAGAAAAGAGAAACTTTAAAAGATTTGTCCTGGAAGACCTACTAACTTGCAACTTTAATGTCCTGAGAGATAAATATTTTTATCATTACTTTTATTAAAGCACTTTAAAAAGTTCAAGTTAGTGGTATAACATATCGAATTGTCATTTTACCGTATGAATAAGATGATATTTGCATGAAACAGGCTAAAATCTTCTAGGAAGTGTTATGATTTAGAATATGCCTTGAGTGCTACTGGTCACCAAAAGTATTTGTGAACAACCACACCGATTGTAAGAAGCCAAAAACTTCCCAGGTGGTAAGAGGATGAGCAAGGATGAAGACCAAGTCTGCCCAATTGGCCAGCTTCTGGAGGCCAGCCCAAGTCTCGGTGGGGCAGTCCCTAATATCCTAGGCTGGCCTGAAACTCACCATGATCCTCCTGCCTCAGTCTCCCAAATGCTGAGATTATAGCTGTGTGCCGTGTCAAGATGTGACAAAAATGATTCCTTCATGTTAAATTCTGTAGGCTACATTTATTCAGAAAGACATATTTCTGAAATTTCAAAAAATTTACCTGCACTCTGAATGGACACTACAGAAATGAGAAAAAGAGTTGTCCTTGAAAACCACTAACCTGTAACTTAAAGGTCAACTGCAGTGTATCAAACCTCAAAAGGAGCTGAGAAGACCTCACCGCACCTCCCTGGACTACAGACAATCACTGGGAGCCTTAGGAAATGTTGGGCGCTTGGAAACTTCACCAAATAATGGCACAGTAGA